GATTCAGTTATCACTTTATATAACTACTGATTGATATATATCTTGTCTTTAAACTTTCTTATTAACTTTCAAAAAAAAAAAATAAAAAATCATCTGAAAACAATATAAGACCACACAATTGAATCGGCCAAGAGCACAAAAATCTAAAAAAAAAAAAATATTAGTGGAAAACAAAAGAATACCAAAAAAAATTCAAGAATACATGTAAATAAGCAAAGAACAAAATAAGCAAAGCAAAAGCAAGAAAGCAAAAGTGCAGAAAACTAGAAGAAAGGCAAAAGCAAGAAAGTGAAAATGCAGAAAACAAGCAAAAGAGCAATAGCAGAAAGGCAAAAGCAAGAAAGTAAAAATGCAAAAAGCAAGTGAAAGAGCAATAGCAGAAAGGCAAAAACAAGAAAGTGAAAAGGCAGAAAACAAGCAAAAGAGCAATAGCAAAAAGACAATACAGAAAACAAAAAGACAGAAAACAAAACAGCATAAAAAAGTAAGAAAGCAAAAGCAGAACAAGCAAAAGAGCAAATAGAAAAAAAAAAAAAGACAAAAGCAAAAAAGTGGCAAAACAAAGAACAAGCAAAAAGCAAACAGCAAAAAGACAAGTGAAACAAACAGCAAAAAAAGTAAAAAGAGCCCAAAAAGGCAAGCAAAAAGGCAAAAAAACAAAAAACAAACGAAGATCAACACGAACAGAAAAAAAAAATATGCTGACAAAACTAGTATTGATATTATGATCAGATCAGATCAGATCTTCTGGGGTTGTTACATTTAAGACATATAACATGTTGTTATACGTATATTTATTTATTAAATAATATAGGTTTTGGGCTATTTTTTGATATATTTTTTATTATTTTTTTATAAACAATTTGTTAAGTAATAAATTTTTTAAAAAGAGAATAATTTCATTTAACTGAGAGAAATTACCAGTTATACAAAAATGATTATCCCTATTTATTCCTATTTATGTGTACAGTTTACACATGCTCTATGATAGATATGAGTTAATTTTGACAAATATAAGGTAATCAGAGATTTAATTTATGCAAATAAATAGAGGTTCGATCAAGTACGCGATCGATCTTTTTTTTTTATTTGTAACAAACAAATAAACGGTTGGCGCTAGTGTTAAAATAAACAAAATAAAAGCAAGTGCCTTTAATTATTATACAGCATTAATTATTTTCACGTTGACTTATGATTCTTATATATTTTTAGTCATAGAATTATTTGATAGTGAATTTATTGACGCTGCACGTAACAAAGTGATAAATGAAGAGTTGAATGAAGCAGTAGTTGAAAACTATCAAGATGCATATTATGAAGTAATAAATAAAGAGTTAAACAAATCACTATCACCAAATAAAGTAGAAGTTGAAAACTATCAAGATGACACAGGTCATAGGCTTATATTTGATATGGACTCTTTGAATAAAGATTTAAATGTTCCTGTTTCTCTGCTTCAAATAACTTTAGGTAAAAAAAAACCATATATAGTCATCCCTTATTAATATTAACCTATTTGGATCACTTTTATATTCATATTGATAGTAATATTAATGAGAAAACATATTAAAGTTGATATATAGAAGGGAGTTTTAATATCATTTAACATATAAAAATTTATTTTCGGAGTTGATATTAATGGGGGATGACTGTATTTAGACGATGTTAAAATTTTAAATATAGACTTTGGCTGATGGATTTTGATCTTTTTTTTTTAAAAAAAATACTTTAGGATAATCTTTTCATACCTGGGATGATGTTGAAAATTTTCTAAAGGATTATAGATTAAAAAAGGGTTTTAGTATCTGCAAAAAATATACAGAAACACAAATGAAAAATGATACTCAAATCTTATGTAAAGTTAGTTGGGAGTGAAGTTGTGTTGGTAAGTATCAGCCAAAAAAAGTGTTGAATTCAAAAAATCAAAAAAATCGTATGTCCAAAGCACCAGATTGTGAATGGAGAGTTAATGCAAACCTTTCTAAAAGTACATCTATGATCATTTTTATTACTGTCGTAAATACATATAATCATCCAATAGTGCTTTTACCTGCAACCAACCTTGCTAGATATCATAAACTCAGTGATAAAATAGTTGAATTTATCAAATTTTGTGTAAATCACAGTGTATCTAGTATACAAAGTGTTGGGCGTCTTTTAAGAGGAAAATTTTCTAGAAGGAAGATTTATCAAAAGGCCTTTATAATTCAATTCAAGTGGCAAAAAAAAAAAAAGGAAACACAGGTAGAATTTGACGTATTTGATCTTATAGAGCACTTGTATTCAAAGTGAGCTGAGGATTCATGTTAATTTGTGGAGGCAAAATTTAAGAAAGATGAATGCTAATTATGTGAATTAGTATGGTTGTTACCAAAACAACAAATGTTATGAACCCATTATCATGATGTTCTTTTTTTTGATATACATTTCATACTAATAAATATAATATGATAGTATGTTTTTTCATTCTTATTGACAATTGTAATCGATCACGATTTGTTGCAACTGCGTTGCTTGAAGATAAGATGGAAAATAGTTTTATCTGAGTATTAACAATAATTAAAAAGTGTATGGGAAATTTAATACCAACCATTGTGTTCACTGATTCTGATCTAGCAATAGCTAATACAATAAATATGGAATTTTTAGATTCTATTCATTGTTTATATATGTTTCACATTGATCTTAATTTGAAAAAGAATCTTAAAAATAGGTTGGGTTCAATAGAATTTAAGGAGTTTCATGAGGATTTTTTCAAGTATAGAAATACATTAGTTCCAAGTTTTTTTGAAAGTTAATAAGAAAGTTTAAAGACAAGATATATATCAATCAGTAGTTATATAAAGTGATAACTGAATC